CCGACAAGTTGCCCTCCCACACAGCCTGCATGCCGGCATTGCCAATCGACACAATGGTGGGGCCCGTGTCGTTGGCGTCCGTGCCCCCTAGCGTGGCAAAGTGGATCATGTGGACCACGACGTTGTCGCTGCTGCCGTAGTTCACCATTTCCCCCATACTTCTTGTTCGAGGCTACAGAGTCTGGGACGATGTCGCCAATGTCGACGGCAGCCAGATAGACTGGTAGATGGAAATGCCCCAGTCCTTGGGCCGCATAATATGGTTGTTGCTGTTCATCTTACAGATCGTCGCGTAGTTGTCCGTGCGGTTGCTGTACATATTAAGCGCAGTATCCTCAGTCGTACGAGTCCTCCGTGGTGTGCGTACCACCAGATCATGTACACATCAGGACTAGTCTTGCCCGGAAAGTAGGGTAGAAATAAGTAGGGCGCCAACGAAACGCTGAAGGATGTCATCTTGGTAGGCGAAGCCTCCTTTGTACATTCACAGCGAATCATGTACATGTCGTAGCACAGAAGGCCGGGTTGTAGGATGCAGATTTTCGGCAATGATATCGACCAAACTCGTCCGTCTCTACTTAACGCACTTGATTAATAGACTGTGACGCAGTTCTAGAAGTTGGAACGGATATTTATACTGATACCGGTCTCGGTGATGAGGAGGGCGAGGAAGAATCCGGCGAGCTCAACGATGATGATGACAAAAGACGCACTGGTGTTTTCGATGTCACTATTGATAGCTGCGAATCGGAGTGCCAAGAGCTTGAGTCATTTTTTTGCGCTGAGATGTGTGATCGGCTCACAGCCTCCGTCCTCTTTGATCCAGGATAAGCAGCCGGCTGCACGGGCGTCCGAGTCAGCGACTCATTGTGTGTTCGTGTGTCGATCCTCTCGCTGGAAAGTCTTGAAGCGCGACGTGTGCATTAGACTGCAGATTTCTAAATGAAAGCAAATCAAGAATCATTGTATTTATAAGATGTTAGAAATGTAGAGGTGGACAACAACCTGCCCCGTATCTTGCTCCGTGATGGTTCTTTTCACAGAATGTGGTCCTATCGAAGCGATAACAGCCGTCGGTATCGTGAGGCCTGTATCTGCCCATGATTTGATGTCAATCAGCATACTTCGATGGCGCTTGTTTTGGTCTCGCGACCCTCGCGCTCTGCGTGTAGGTGTCCTTGATCTTGCCGACCTACGCAAGACATTGCACGGCTGAGTTGTTATTCTAGTGGCATGCTCGCGCAG